TGACCATCCAGATGAGGAAGTCAACTGTATACTGCTGCCTTTTATGTCTTCTCCATCAGGGATGGGACCAACCGGAATTTTGAAGGGCAAAACCACTTACTTTTGTAAGCCAAGCCTTGTGGTACAGGACTGTAACCACAGTATTCCAAAGCCTGAGGCAGGGAGACCACAAGTTCAAGGCTCATCTATGCTACAGAGCACATCTGAGACTTTCTTGGGTAGCTCAGGGAGACCCCGTTGAGAAACTTCAAAGGAAAGAAGATAGCAAGTGGGGTGTGGCTCGGGCAGAGCACCAGCCTGGCGTGCAGAGGCCCCAGGCTCCACTCTCAGCATCACAAGGGAAGAAACCGGCTTTGTTATGAGCAGTAACGCTTTTTTGGATTGGTCTTACTATTTTATGTGCATGTGAGCGCACTGCCTCCGTGGACACTCATGCATCATGCCCATGCCTGCTGCCTCTCGAGTTCCAAAGAGGGTCAGGTCTCCAGGAGCTGCAATTAGACTGCGGTGGGACACTGTGCGGGTGCTGAGAATTGAACCTGGGTCCTCTGCAAGAACAAGTACTCTTAACTGATGAACCAACCCTCCAGCCACTAAAGGCTTTCTTTTTAATTAGATTTTGTTGCAAGATTCTACTTAAAAACTTTATTCAAGTTTCTCCGTGACGTGACTTAACTTCTATTTTCTGCTGAAAGGTGTCACAGACCCAAACCCAGACACTCTCCAGGACATGTTGGCATCCACCTGTTTGCCTCATAGGAGCCTGGGTGGAAAGACAATGTACCAGGCTGTGAGGGGAGCCGCTCTGAACTCCCTAACCTGCTCATCTACCTAGAGGAAAGAGTGGATGTCTTCATCCCCAGCAACCACAGGAATCCAGACATAAAGCGTAAGTAACCTGTCTCAGGTTATTCAACCAAGCAGTGGTCCTCAAACAATACTCTGCTCACTAAACCCAGCAGGAAAGACACCCCAACAGGTGGGCCCAGCTCATCCACAGACCACAGAATTCACTGCTCCAATGTGACAGTTTCATTTCATGGGGGTGATCAGCAAACCACTTGCCCTGAGCCAATTCAGCCCCCTCTTGTATCAATAAAACTTCAATAGCACACATCCAGGTCCACGTACATGCACATATACACATTTGGGGCTTATGCTTTGTGTGTGGTTGGTCGTCTGTGTGGTTTTCGGGTATGTTTATATGATTTATGATGTACATGTATGGATGTGTATATATATGGCTATGTGAAGGTTATGGGTATGTTTTGTATGATTGGTGATTGTGCAGTTTATGGTATGTATGTATGTATGTATGTATGTATGTATGTATGTACCTATGTGAGGTTTATGGATATGTTTGTGTGGTTTATTCGTATATGTGTATGTTCACGTGGTTTACAGTATATGGTTTGGAGTGTATGTGTGTTGTGTGTTTTTGTGGCTTACAGTTCCCTTCTTGGATGCATGTTGGAAAGGAAGTATGATTGCTTTCAGGATGTATATATGTTTGTTTGTATCTGTGTAATTAATAAAGTATGGGGATATATATGGGTGGTGTGTCTGTGTGATTTATGGTTGCTTCCAAGGTATGTGTGTGTCCGTGTGTCTGTGTATGTGTTTGTGTGGTTTATGGTTGCTTTCAAGGTGTGTGTGTGTGTGGGGGGGGTATTTTGTAGTTCCTGGTTGGTCTAGTGTGCCACTGCAGAGCTTACAGGTATGTTACACACATACCTTCTGGCCTGAAAAGCCCCAAATTATTACTATTTGATCCTTCTCGGAAATTAATATACATTGGTCAACCTCTAATTTAAAGAGTCATCTATGGCCTGAGTTTTGATCTATTCTTCAGGTATTTGAATCTTCAACTAGCTCCTGATTCTTTTTGAATTAGTTTACTTGACAGGGGGATTTTGGTAAAAATGGTTGCCAATGTTTGATTCATATTCACATTGCACAAAGAAAAGACTCACTGGCTGTATTTATGGTTCAAGTTAGCACACTGTCTGCAATGGGTGCAATGTGGGTATAGGGTAGCTTCAATCCTTGGAAAGAGCATTGTCACAAACACAGATCAAAGTGTGCAGGTGAAATGCAAAGTGCTTTGCTCTGGAAGAAGTCTTTCGTTCAAGGTTGGACAGGCACCACTCCCTCAAGCATTCGGATTTGAAGAGTCTATCTATATTCCACCAGCTGAGCTAATCCTATTTTCACCAAAGATCCAGACATCATTTATTGGCACCTTGCTTTTCTCATAAATAGAAGCATGCCCTCTCCCAAGTTCCTTCACTGATACCTCTTGAAAACGAAACATCTGAAAAGAAATGTGGTCCCTTGAACACTGATGTATTTTACACAAGGGTCTTTTGAAGCTAAATGCATCTTACAATAACTTACAGCACACTCAGAATTGAAATCCAGCCTTCCAACTCCTCCTGCAAATGTCTGATCCTATGTGACACTTTCATCTCATTTTTTAAAACCTTTTACTATGGAAATTTTCAAATATGTAAAAATGAAAGGATAGTCCCCAGCCACTAGCTTCTACAAGTATCAGCACTCTGCTGTTTTTCCAGTGGATCCCTCCTCCCAACATTTTTATTTGCTATTTGTTAGAGCGTTTGAAAGCTGATTTCACACACCAAGTCATTTCACTCATGAATGCTTATTTCTGTTAGGGCTCTTCCTTTGAAGAAAAAGACGATACCATTATCACCGCCAAAGTAATAAATAACAACTCTTAATGTTATCTAATACCCAATCTCACTTCAATGTCTTTTTTTTTAATAAAGGGTTCTGTTCAAGCAAGGATCCAAATGTGACCACATACTGTGTGTTCTTGATTAGTCTCTTAGGTCTCTTTATGTATGCCATAAAGTCCTTTCATTCCTCCTTCATCCATCCCGGTATATATTTAAATGCTAACTGCATGAACGGATCTTACCAACAGTGACCCCTCTTCAGCCTCTGCACACTGTAAGCAGACCCTGACATTCACAGGCCTTTGCGTCCCTTGGGCACACTCTTATGTGCCCTACCTGCCACCTGCAACCCCACCTGAAAACCAGAATGAAGACTGTCTCCCTTGCTCATGCTCTCAAGAGAATTCAGATTGCTTCAACAAGCCAATCCTAGAAAATCGAATCTTTCTGCACTGCTCTGGCCTGCAAACTCTGCATGGTTTAAAAGCAAGGCACCCATTCATCACACCTTCTTTTTGAGATTAGCCAGACTTAATCAAGGATCACAAAGTAAATCAGACATGCCTCTGAATCCATTACTGCTATCAGTGACAATATGAGTTTGCACCTAGACCATGCAAGGCATAAGGCTATAAAAAAGGATGACCAGAGTCCCTGCCCACTGGAACCTAACCTAAACCAAGACGCAGCAAATCCCTTCCAGTGGTTCTCAACCTCTGTGTTGATCTGAGGGGGCGGGGTGTCACCTATCAGAGGCCCTGCACGTCAGATATTTACATTCTGATTTGTAACAGTAGCAAAATTAGTTATCAAGTAGCAACCGAATTAATTTTATGGCTGGGGACTACCACAGCATGAGAAACTGTATTAAAGGGTTGTGTCATTAGGAAGGCTGAGAATCATTGGTTTAGATAAACTGCCCAAGGAGACAACAAACAAAGGCACACCCAAACTGACAGCCATGTCCCCACTCCTGGGTGAAGAGTGTGTGTGAGGTCAATCAGCACAGTGCAACAAAAAGAACAGGAGGCAGAAGGTACAAAACTTGTCTTCTTTACCAGGGATGCCACACTAGATATTTGAAAGCTCTGTTTCCCAGTCTTATTTGTAAGACAGGCTAATCCTACTTCCTTCCCAGAGTAGCAGCCAATATTTACTGAGTGTTTATTGTACACAGGGACTCATGTCACCTTCTTTGGTAGGTTAATCTTCACAAAATCCCTCATTATGCAGCCCTGACCAGCCTGCAACTCACTATGTAGAGCAGACTGGCCTGTAATCCATAAAAAGCTTTATGAGGTGGGCTGCTATTATTCTCATTTTGCAGATGAAATGACCAATGAGGCTCTAAGTGGCATGGTGACCTACCTCAGGTCACACAGCAACTAAAGTAACCCAGGACTTCACCTGAGGGCTATCTGCAGCAAGAGCTAGGCCTCCTCACCAAAGACTTTTATTTTCTCTTCAATTATCATGCTACATTAGCAAGGCTGACTCCTCCTTGAGGAAGAGAGAAAGTGTGCTCCACACTGAATGTTCTACCCCAAATTTTCATTCAAAATCAACTCTTACCACTAGGGACACAAAGGCAAGGCAGGGAAGGAAAAGAAGAGGGCTCTGTCACCAGGAAGCCCCAGTTGACTCTGGCTACTTTGGGGATTTGTGTTAACACCAGCAAGTCTCTCTGGGTTTGCTATTTTTCTGCTATATCCCTGCTTCCCTCTGCCCTGTGAGGGAGATCCGGTGACTAGTGGCTGTTTCTACACCATCTTTTTTAATTTTTAGAAACCCATCAAATGGTCTGGGCAGGAAGAGGTAGGGGCTGGGAAAAAAAAAAAAAGTGTTGGCTAGAAAAGCCAGAGCTTCATTCATTCATTCATTCATTCATTCATTCACCACAAATTCGAACTTGGTGTCTCTCTCAGCTACTGTGCCTTGAAATAATTCCATATAAAAAGAGCAGTCTGGAAGGGTCAAGGGGAAGAGACCCACTCAAAACGAGGGAAGCAGTGGGCTCCCAAAGCAAATGGAGCCGGGCTCGCACTCCCTGACTACTCAAGTCCCGTCCCAGACTGGGACTTGCTCACTCCTCACAGCTCCCAGAGCAGCTCAGGGAGAAACTGACAGGAAGTCAAAGTTTCCAACGCACTCAGGTCCTGGCCTTCCCGGGAAGGAGGGCCACCTGAGGAAACGGGCTCCAGGTGGGAGGCTCGGCCTGAGCTCCCGCCCCGTCTAAGTGCACCGACAGTCCTCCGAGAGAGACCCCGGGAGGGGCGGGGCGCCCCAACTGTTACTTACAGTCGTCTAAGTCATCCTGCAAGTCCACAAAGTACAGGGGGATCTCTGAAAAAACCAAGAGACACACGAGGAGTTAAC